CCCCCCCTTTTTTTTTTTTTAATTTAAAGGAAAGCCTTCCAGAAAAATGCTATGGGCGGAACAGCAGGCAAAAATGCTAAACATTCCACATAACGCTACTGCTGAAAATAGACTATATATTTCATAGTTACAGCTGAGATGCTGGCTCAGCTCATCTCCATTGAAGCCATCAGTTGTACCAGCAACAGGAACACTGCTCTCCAAGATGCAAAATAGCAGGAACAAGTTCTTTGTGACGTGTTTTGCACTAGGCACAGTGCTTTCTCAAAGAATGACAAACTACCCTCACCCCATTTTATATGAATAGTAATTATTCTCACAATATCATTAACCCCTTCACTTTCTAAAAAGAAAAAGGTGTGCATATATTTATATCTGCATTAGAATCTGTATTATTCTACATAACAAAGAATCAAATAGCTATAACAGTAAAATGTAGCAATAAAAAAGATGCACGTAACAGATGCAATTACTCACAGCAAGCTATCCTAGTGGTAGAACTGATTAATCCCAGCTTGCTATAATATCTATTATGAAATAAAAAATATACATGTCTTAAAACAGCGAGGGGTCTATTTAGAAATATTCCTCCCAGCCATATGCTGGCTGAATGCCATTCACACAGCATTGCTACCACCAGAAGGAGCCAAGGAGCACAAGAGATTTCTTCTAACTTCCTGTTTGTGTCTCTGAAACTGTAATAGGTGAAATGTTTCCAACTGAGACATAGGCAGCTAGAAAAACTGGACAGGTTCTAACCTTCCCTGCTAAATCTAGGAAAAAGGTTTTGGCTGGAGTTGCACTTTTATAAATATAGGTTATAACATCAGCAATGATGTGCAAAATGCATAACCCCTAGCAGCCAATTTTGTATCCTACTTTATCAGGTTTGGGTGTGATGGAACAATAAAAAAAAATGTATTCTTGGTTATTACTAAGTTTAAAACCTGTTCTGATATAGTGTTTGTTGCATATACTTTAAAAAATACTAGAGAAAAGATTCTGATTGGACACTGCACTTTACAGACTGGCCTTTTACTAAATCAGTGAATGTGTGATGCATTTTATTACAGGCTCATCGGTGTAACTAACTAATTATCTTTTCATTACCGTCTCTAGATCAGAATGGCTTTGTGTTTTTGTCATCTGTATGAAGAGTTCCTCTAGTGAGTCCGGCTATTCTTTTCATTCTTACAACTAACATCACCAAGGTACATTTTGTTAATCTGGAGTTATTTATATATAAGTTATGGAGAGGTCTGGATTTTTGCAATAGTTTTAAAGGAGAACTATAAGGTGAGTGCTTTTCACTCACCTCATAGTTCTAGCCGACCTGTGACAATGAGACTGTCACAGGTCGGCTCAGTAGATCGGGAAGTGAGCGAACACATACCGGGTTCGCTCGCCTCTCGATCCTGTCACGGCTCTCTGCCGTGACAGGGGGAGGGGCTGGATTCCCCTCTCCCCGCTCCGATCTGTCAGCGCTGACTGGCGGAACGGACTGGGAGGGGGCGGGTACAGCTGGCTCTGCCTCTAGATAGGCAGAGCCAGCTGTCACTCACGCAGCTGGGCGGATCCCGTCATCTACGTCGGGATCCGCTCCGGCTGCGGCGTCTCCGTATACCGCGAGCAGTAGCTGAGCTTAGGGTAACGGGAGGACGCTAGTTTGTGTCCTCCCGTTACCCTAAGGAAAACTATGGGGAAAAACACTGACCCCATAGTTCTCCTTTTAAGCCGTCGTCGTTTTGCATGCCTTTCCTTGTGTGTTTTTTCTTTATACCTGTCATTACAAGTTATTTATATGGAACTTGCCCTTGAGTTTAGTCCTGTAGCCATTTGTATTTGTAGAACAGTTTTTATGCTGTGTGAACAGCGTTTAGATCATATTATTTTTAGTAGGGATGCACTGAAATGAAACTTTTAAACCAAAACCGAAATTAAAAAATTTGAAAGACCAAAACCGAAATGTCTTTTTTTCCCCCCAACCTTTTTAAAAATGTAAAGTATTTTTTTATTTTATTTATTAAATTAAATAGACCCCTGATATTTCCCTTTTAAAATAGAAAAAGAGATTGAGGACACAGAGTCCTACACTCGGTGCACTACAGAAGAAAGGAGGCCGGTTATATCCCTGAAGAAAGACACAAGTATCGCCTTCTTGCCTGCTGATAAAGGGAGATGCATGGTTGTGTTTAAAGGAGAACTATGAGGTGAGTGAAAATCCCTCATTCTCACAGTTCGAGCCAACGTGTGACAATTAAACTTTCACACGTCGGCTCAATAGATCGGGAAATGAGCGAACACATAGCATTGCTCGCTCACTTCTCGATCACATGTCCCTGCAGAGAGCCGTGACTGTCACTCATGGCTCTCTGCAGGGATTCCCCCCTGCTCCGATCCTCCAGCGCTGACTGGCGGAACGGACGGGGCGGCTACAGCTGGCTCTGCCTCTAGATACGCAGAGCCAGCTGTCACTCACGCAGCTGGGTGGATATAGACAGTAATGTCGGTATCCGTCCCGGCTGCGGCGGTCTCAGTATCCCGCGAGCTGTAGCTCGCGGGATACTGAGCTTTGGATCACGGGAGGACGCTAGTTTGTGTCCTCCTGTGACCCTTAGGAGAACTATGGGGGAAAACACTTATGCCATAGTTCTCCTTCAATACATCTGACTACGATGATAAGGTGAGTGCACTTCTGAATGATAAGAACACATATGAATCCCTAAAAACGGGGCGGCTACAGCTGGCTCTGCCTCTAGATACGCAGAGCCAGCTGTCACTCACGCAGCTGGGTGGATATAGACAGTAATGTCGGTATCCGTCCCGGCTGCGGCGGTCTCAGTATCCCGCGAGCTGTAGCTCGCGGGATACTGAGCTTTGGATCACGGGAGGACGCTAGTTTGTGTCCTCCTGTGACCCTTAGGAGAACTATGGGGGAAAACACTTATGCCATAGTTCTCCTTCAATACATCTGACTACGATGATAAGGTGAGTGCACTTCTGAATGATAAGAACACATATGAATCCCTAAAAAGAGACCCAACCAGTGATTACAAGAAGAAAGTTATAGACCTACTACAACAGCAAAAAAATGACAAGGCCATTGATCAGGCTATGTATCCTTTCCTTTACCTTGGCGAAGCCCCTCCATGTATATATGGACTTCCTAAGAAACTCTGTGACTTACAATGTGGCAAAATACTTAGCCAGAGTCCTGGCTCCCTTGGTTGAAAATACACAGCATTACATACAGAACTCTCAGGATTTCGCAACCAAAATCCAGAACTTAATATTGGGCACAGAAGAAACAATGGTATTCTATGATATTACATCCCTCTTCAACTACATACCCACCACAAAGGCAATTGAAACAGTGAGAAAACGGTTGCTACTAGACAACACCCTAGGCAGCAGAACAGAATCTAACCCAGATCAAGTGTGTGTCTTTTTGGGCCTTTGCCTGAGTACCAACTAGGTACAAGTACTAGTTCCACAGGCAAAAACATGGCTGTGCCATGGGATCACCAGTTTCACCTATTGTGGCTAACCTGTACATGAAGAAGTAGAAAGGAAGGCCCTGACCACCTTCAAGGGAGTTACACACTGTCACTCATTCAGATATGTGGATGCCATTTGGGTTAAGATTCACAAACTAGAGTTATGGGCTTTCACTGACCATATCAACTCATAAGATCAAGTTTTCTCACGGGAAGATATGCAACACAACAAACTGGCTTTTTTTGTACTGTTTAGTAACAGTAGAAGAAGGAAGGAGGCAGGATAAAGATTTCTACCAAAAACCAACACACATGGACCAGTACCTGCTATTTGACTCCCACCACCCTCTAGACCACAAACTGGGAGTCATCAGGACTCTACACCACTGGGAAAAATACCCAAAAGCACAGAGGTGAAGGCAAAGGAATTCAAACACCCCAGAAGGGCCCTCAAAACTTGCGGGTATCCAGATTCGGTCTTTGTCAAAACAGAAAGGAAAGAACACCAAGACTACCAGTGAGGGGGAAATGCAGGACAAACAAAATAATTTGGTCATCTCATATGTAGCTGGGATGTCTGAAAAACTTAGAAGGATTGTTCAACATCACATCCCTGTCTGCTTTAAACCCGGCAATACACTGAGGAAACAACTGGTTCACCCAAAAGACCCAACGCCAAAACACAAGATGAACAACATTGTGTATGCAGTCCAGTGCAGTGAGGAGTGCTCCGAATTGTATGTCGGTAAACAAAACAGCAGTCACACCAGCGTATGGCACAGCATATGTGCCATATGCTCTGGTCAGGATTCACCAGTGTACCTACGTCTAAAGGAAAAAGGTCACTCCTTTGAAGACAGTCAAGTACACATCCTAGACAGGGAGGAGGACTGGTTTCAAAGAGGTGTAAAAGAAGACATTCATTTAAAAATGGAGAAGCCATGCTTGAAAGGGGCTGGGGGGTAGGGGGGCATCTATTGTCTGCCGCATATATTGCTGTTTTATCGCCTCTCTCTGGGCAGGTTAATGCCACCTCCAATTATGCAAATGCAATCAACATCTTACCTCCATGAGGTCTCTGACCCCATGCTGGTTATGTTTAACAGATTATGTTGATTGGAGCAACATTCACCATATTTATTCCCAGATAATTTTTGTACAAGTCATTCTGAAAAATCTTGTCGGATGACCAGCGAAATGTCTTCAAGAAAAATACAGCAAGTCCAGTTGCCTTGACTTATTTTCTACAGTCATAGTAATAGCAACTTCACTGAAATGATTAACATACTGTTTTATGCCCTCCACAGATAACCAATGTCCACTGAAAATCAGGAAGCCCAGGAGGATGAACTGCTAGCTCTCAGTAGTATATACTCTGAAGATGAGTTTAAGAGAGCTGACACTGCTTCAGGAGGGGAAATCCAAGTGTGCCTGGAACTTCCCCCAAATTTCAAAATATCTGTTAAATGTAAGTCAGGTAAACTGTGTCTAATATGTCTTCATTCACACTATGTGCCATTAGATTATTTTATATGCTTTTAAAAAGCTTTTGTAAATGTATAGATATATGCATCTAATATATACCAATGGGTATTATTATTATTATTATTATTATTATAAGACCAAGAGAGGAGGTGTAGATAGAGAAGAGAAGGTCTTGTAGGCCAAGAAGAGAGTCTTGTAGGCCAAGTGAGTAGAGTTTTTTGAGGAGGAGCAGGTGGTCCACGGTGTCAAAAGCAGCAGAAAGGTCTAATAGCAATAACACCTGAACAGTAACTGCAGCTGGTTAGCGGTTTCCACCTGACTCCTTTTTCAGTCGAACTTTGACGAGTCTGATGTTGCTGGCAGGTCCACGCACGCATTGAATTTCAGACGATTCTGCAGGAAATGGTTGATATTTGATCTGTGCATGGCATAAGTGTAGTGCACTACACTACACTTATGCTACATCAACCTACCTCTTTAGCCAGACAGGAAGTGACATACCTAAACCTAATCCCTAGAGAGACTCTTTATCCACCTATAAAAAAAATCCAGCCCACTGCAAGAAAAGAAGTTCAATACTTACCTCTTTAGGCAGACATGAAATTAATCCTCTAATCCTGATCCCTAAAGAGGTAAGTACTTCATTACTTCTCTTTTGGATTTATTTATAGATGTAAAAGGGTCTCTTTAGGGATTAGGTTTAGGGATTTTTTGAGGGGTTGTTTGGTATAAGAGGGAGGTTTAAACTGTAAGTACTAATGTCGAAAAACATGCTGCAACTTCATTTCCAGCTCTTATCTCCTGCCTTTTTCTGAAATTGGCATGTGAATAACATTCATCTTGTTTTTCCTCTACCCTGACAGGGAGGGTCTCTCTGTCACATGACCAGCCTGCCTGTCACATGACCAGCCTGCCTGTCACATGACCAGCCTGCCTGTCACATGACATATTTGGCATATTGCAGACTTTTTGTTACTTAAGTACAGTAACCTTTTACTATATCATTATAGAAAGTGAGAAGTAAAAGTAGTTTTTTTTTTTCTACTAGACAGACAACCAAACAAGAAAACATGCATAAAATAGCTTATTAGGCTCTTTAATTTCTATTTTTTAGCCAGTTCTGCAGCAAACACTATAGTGGAGAGCTTTGAGGACACAGTTTTCTTTCTGCCACCAATTGTCCTGAACTTTGAACTTCCTCCAGGATACCCCTCCACTACGAGCCCCATCTTCACACTCAGCTGCAAGTGGCTTTCATCGAAACAGGTAAAGCATTCATTCATATAATGTCAAAATATTATTTTACAGTTTGTACTATTTCCTTTTAGCATAATCAGAAATTATGAGTATCTTGGATTTAACCGTGATGTAGTGAGTCCTGTGCTTTGGTTAGATGTTGAGAACATAGAGGATCTGTTTAACTCAGTCTTGCTTAAAGCGTATGTCAAGACAGAATTTACAAACATATTCATATTTCTTACGTCCCTATGTTTTATCCTTTTAAACACACTGCAAATACAGAAAAAATACTGTTGATGTTTCCAGAAATATATACTGTGCTTCTTCCTCTTTGACATGACAGCATAGTGTAGTTTTGGCTCTGAATTCTAAAGCATCAGGTCTAAAGCATCAGCACTGCCTACTTCATTTGTGATGCATTACAAAGAACACAGCCAACTTCTCATTCCTCCCCTCCCCCCCAATCTCCATAACCCTTCCTTGTGCACAGGCAAAGAGCACAGGAAGTTATCAGCTCACAGGAATTCTAGCAAAATCTACAGGTATTTTGTGCACTTATCTAACAGATATAACAAAACACTTTCAATGGTATATTTAGCAGAACAAAAGGCAACAAGTAAGAGAGGTTAATTGTTAGCATTCATATGGTAAACTTATTCTTCCTGCCTTGCCCCTAATCAAAATTGCCCAACCCTTAACCACTCCAAATGCATATTTACCTGGTTTTGACAGCTACAGCTTTCTGCAGCCTGGAGAAATGGCCCCTCCAAAATCTGTAGGGACCATGTAAGCAAGAATTTGGTCACAGACTGTAAACATTGAGGAATGCCGTGGCTATCAGATTTAGGTAATTATGTATATGGTGTGGGGAAGGGTGAAATACTTATGATCAGGGGGCAAGACTTGCTCTTTATATATCAAACCTAACTGAAGTACATATACATACATACATAGTACAGTATATGAATTATGTATACTTACATACACAGTGGGGGGAATTTATTAAAACTGGAGCAAAGAGAATCTGGAACAGTTGCCCACGGCAACAAATCAGCATCTCTCTACAGTTTGCTCAGGTGAGATTTGAAAATGAGAGAGAGATGCTTATTGGCTGCAGTGCAAATCTGCTCCAGTTTTTGTCTGCTCCAGTTTTGATAAATCCCCCCCGGTATATGTTTGACTCCCTGACTGTACTGCACATGCATATGGTAAACATTTTGATAAAGGCAATGGGGGAAGGCACTGCCAGCATTCCAGTGTTTGCAATCAAATGCTCACCATTTCTTGTGTAAAATGTTAAAACCATTTGTAGACTTCACAGGGCCCCTTTGTCCGGGTGAAGGCAAAACATGCTCAAAGGAAGCTATATATATAACTATAATCTTCTGATCTGGCCAAAACTGACTGGATCGTGTGATAGTCAGTGAGGTCTGTAGGTAGCTTTTGTTCCAAGTGTTTTGGACCAATTTCTTTCTGTCTGTCTGGTGTGTTAAGTCTAAACAGAGTTAACTATTACTGGACTTGTACTAACTTTCATTTGTACACAGCAATTTTTTTTAAAAAGACTACAATAAAAAATATACAAAGATGAGATTTATTATTCAGTCACACAAAAAGGTGCTTTCCAGAAAGGAAATGTATTTAACAGCCAAGCATCCTCTACATTTTCTTTTTCTAGTCCAGGTCATGTGTTTGCCATGACTAACAACCCTGTGCAACTTTTATGAGTTGTTGCACATCAGCACTGTATAATCACAATGTGGTAATGTAGGTTCTCTGATAGGGAATTATGTTCGTGTGCATAGTTCATGTTGTGAGCCTGTGCCTAGACTATAGTTAAAAAAGTACATTGGATGATTCTGGATAAACAGGAAAAGCTCTTTAAAACAAAACCCCACTGATCTCTGTTGCTATGGTTATTGTACAGAAATTCATCTTCAAATTTCAGGCAGCCTGCAGTTTTCTAATGTAAACAAACTGCAGGTGATGTAAGCTATAGGAAACCTAACCCATCTAGAGAATCTCTGTTGTGATCTTTAAGATAAATTAGGCCTCACTCACACAAGACTTTACGGTCAGAATGCGGACTTCTGCAGCAGGCATCTCAAGTGGTACAGACTAAGCGACTGCATCTGTCTGGATCCCCCTGAGATTCTTGCGTCAGGAATCTGCAGCCGGATCCAAGAGCTTTGTGTGAATGAGGCCTTAGTTCACAGAATATGAGGCTACGCTGGTCAGGGATGGTTTGTTTTTTAACTCTTTTACTGCTTGTTAAACATATGTAAAATCTTTAAAGTCTATAGTTTTGGCACAGATTATCTCCTGCCTTTTTCTGAAATTGGCATGTGAATAACATTCATCTTGTTTTTCCTCTACCCTGACAGGGAGGGTCTCTCTGTCACATGACCAGCCTGCCTGTCACATGACCAGCCTGCCTGTCACATGACCAGCCTGCCTGTCACATGACATATTTGGCATATTGCAGACTTTTTGTTACTTAAGTACAGTAACCTTTTACTATATCATTATAGAAAGTGAGAAGTAAAAGTAGTTTTTTTTTTTCTACTAGACAGACAACCAAACAAGAAAACATGCATAAAATAGCTTATTAGGCTCTTTAATTTCTATTTTTTAGCCAGTTCTGCAGCAAACACTATAGTGGAGAGCTTTGAGGACACAGTTTTCTTTCTGCCACCAATTGTCCTGAACTTTGAACTTCCTCCAGGATACCCCTCCACTACGAGCCCCATCTTCACACTCAGCTGCAAGTGGCTTTCATCGAAACAGGTAAAGCATTCATTCATATAATGTCAAAATATTATTTTACAGTTTGTACTATTTCCTTTTAGCATAATCAGAAATTATGAGTATCTTGGATTTAACCGTGATGTAGTGAGTCCTGTGCTTTGGTTAGATGTTGAGAACATAGAGGATCTGTTTAACTCAGTCTTGCTTAAAGCGTATGTCAAGACAGAATTTACAAACATATTCATATTTCTTACGTCCCTATGTTTTATCCTTTTAAACACACTGCAAATACAGAAAAAATACTGTTGATGTTTCCAGAAATATATACTGTGCTTCTTCCTCTTTGACATGACAGCATAGTGTAGTTTTGGCTCTGAATTCTAAAGCATCAGGTCTAAAGCATCAGCACTGCCTACTTCATTTGTGATGCATTACAAAGAACACAGCCAACTTCTCATTCCTCCCCTCCCCCCCAATCTCCATAACCCTTCCTTGTGCACAGGCAAAGAGCACAGGAAGTTATCAGCTCACAGGAATTCTAGCAAAATCTACAGGTATTTTGTGCACTTATCTAACAGATATAACAAAACACTTTCAATGGTATATTTAGCAGAACAAAAGGCAACAAGTAAGAGAGGTTAATTGTTAGCATTCATATGGTAAACTTATTCTTCCTGCCTTGCCCCTAATCAAAATTGCCCAACCCTTAACCACTCCAAATGCATATTTACCTGGTTTTGACAGCTACAGCTTTCTGCAGCCTGGAGAAATGGCCCCTCCAAAATCTGTAGGGACCATGTAAGCAAGAATTTGGTCACAGACTGTAAACATTGAGGAATGCCGTGGCTATCAGATTTAGGTAATTATGTATATGGTGTGGGGAAGGGTGAAATACTTATGATCAGGGGGCAAGACTTGCTCTTTATATATCAAACCTAACTGAAGTACATATACATACATACATAGTACAGTATATGAATTATGTATACTTACATACACAGTGGGGGGAATTTATTAAAACTGGAGCAAAGAGAATCTGGAACAGTTGCCCACGGCAACAAATCAGCATCTCTCTACAGTTTGCTCAGGTGAGATTTGAAAATGAGAGAGAGATGCTTATTGGCTGCAGTGCAAATCTGCTCCAGTTTTTGTCTGCTCCAGTTTTGATAAATCCCCCCCGGTATATGTTTGACTCCCTGACTGTACTGCACATGCATATGGTAAACATTTTGATAAAGGCAATGGGGGAAGGCACTGCCAGCATTCCAGTGTTTGCAATCAAATGCTCACCATTTCTTGTGTAAAATGTTAAAACCATTTGTAGACTTCACAGGGCCCCTTTGTCCGGGTGAAGGCAAAACATGCTCAAAGGAAGCTATATATATAACTATAATCTTCTGATCTGGCCAAAACTGACTGGATCGTGTGATAGTCAGTGAGGTCTGTAGGTAGCTTTTGTTCCAAGTGTTTTGGACCAATTTCTTTCTGTCTGTCTGGTGTGTTAAGTCTAAACAGAGTTAACTATTACTGGACTTGTACTAACTTTCATTTGTACACAGCAATTTTTTTTAAAAAGACTACAATAAAAAATATACAAAGATGAGATTTATTATTCAGTCACACAAAAAGGTGCTTTCCAGAAAGGAAATGTATTTAACAGCCAAGCATCCTCTACATTTTCTTTTTCTAGTCCAGGTCATGTGTTTGCCATGACTAACAACCCTGTGCAACTTTTATGAGTTGTTGCACATCAGCACTGTATAATCACAATGTGGTAATGTAGGTTCTCTGATAGGGAATTATGTTCGTGTGCATAGTTCATGTTGTGAGCCTGTGCCTAGACTATAGTTAAAAAAGTACATTGGATGATTCTGGATAAACAGGAAAAGCTCTTTAAAACAAAACCCCACTGATCTCTGTTGCTATGGTTATTGTACAGAAATTCATCTTCAAATTTCAGGCAGCCTGCAGTTTTCTAATGTAAACAAACTGCAGGTGATGTAAGCTATAGGAAACCTAACCCATCTAGAGAATCTCTGTTGTGATCTTTAAGATAAATTAGGCCTCACTCACACAAGACTTTACGGTCAGAATGCGGACTTCTGCAGCAGGCATCTCAAGTGGTACAGACTAAGCGACTGCATCTGTCTGGATCCCCCTGAGATTCTTGCGTCAGGAATCTGCAGCCGGATCCAAGAGCTTTGTGTGAATGAGGCCTTAGTTCACAGAATATGAGGCTACGCTGGTCAGGGATGGTTTGTTTTTTAACTCTTTTACTGCTTGTTAAACATATGTAAAATCTTTAAAGTCTATAGTTTTGGCACAGGTACAATTTAAGTAGCCAAATACTACTATAAAATACAATTTTTTTATTCTTATGTACCTAATATTTCAGCTTGCGCTTTTGTGCCAGCGTTTAGACGATTTATGGGAGGAGAACAGAGGATGTGTCGTTTTGTTTGCTTGGATGCAGTTTCTTAAGGAGGAGACTCTGGAGTCCTTGAATATAAAATCACCGTATGAAATTAAATTTCACAGTAATGGAACACACACCTTGATGCAGACCCATGAAAAAGCAAGTCACTGCATTGCCACAGCCACTCCTGAAGAGGGAGCAGTTGACAGACGTGCTATCCAGGATGTCCAATCTGTGTCTGCCCTCATCAAACACATATTGAACTTTAATGAGAGTCAGCAGAAGAAATGTTTTGACAGCAAACCATTCTTATGCAATATCTGTTTCTCTGAGAAGCTAGGCAGTGAGTGTACGTATTTTAAGGACTGCAGCCATGTTTATTGTAATAGCTGCCTTAGTGACTACTTTGAAATTCAAATCAAGGATGGACAGGTTCATGCACTTAACTGTCCTGAGCCCAAATGCACATCTGTCGCTACACCTGCTCAGGTAACTTGTTGTTCATTTTATTTTTCTTGTTCATTTTCCATATTTAGCTAAATTTATGATGGCTTATGAACTTAGGGACATTTGCTATGATGTTGCTGTTCCACAGTAAATTTACATGCAGAGCACAATGAGTGGAGAGATGCAAAATCCTCTAGTGCAGAGCTACATAGAAATTACAGGGCTGGTTGCAAAACTTTTACAGATATTTGTTGTCTAATTGTAGTAAAGCCCAAGGAAACTGACCCCAGCAGTATTTAACGTACTTTACCATACAAAAATGCCATGTGCTCAAACTACTTAATTACAGGAAAAGCAATACAAAAGACATAAACATAGATAAACTTACTGGCTGCTACAATTACATGCACACACATGCACCCACTAATCTATCCTTTCTAGCACATGGAATGGTTTCCATAAGGGGATACACTAAAAGGACATTTAACTTCGAATTACAGGGTTACAAGATTCGAACAGAAACTTCGTGGCTATCAAGGGTTCTTAGGAAAATGGCTTCTGGTTGCAGTCTCTAAATGTGGCCTTTAGTTGTCCTTTGTTTCAGTGATGTCCTCTTTGGTCAAAGTCACATTATGAAGTCCTAACTATTGAACCTGGACTGCTGCTTTTATTCAGAAAAGTTGATGGCCTACATGTGGGCATTGCCCTTACACTTGTGTTAAATTCTATGGAAGGTGTATCTCCATTTTTCCAACTCTAGGTGTCAGCACAGCACCATAAATGCCATCAACAGGTGCCAACTAGTCTAACTAATGTTAACTAGCCTGGGCGTGCTGTTTACACAAAGTTTCCCCATAACAATATCCGTTTGTGAGTAAGCTAGATACGAATAATGGAAAAACATTAGAGGTCAGCTATACCAGATATGTCAGAAAAAACTATTCAGTTGACTAGAAGGCACCCTTTTTTGGCCATTGTGAGAAACCAGCTTTCTGTCAACAGTTGTTTAGCTTAATAATGGCACTAATTATCTTATCTGAATGAGATCAAACCTTCAAGGGAATTTGAGGTTTTCAAATTCACATTCTGTTTTTTGAATTTGCATGTGTCTGAAAGAGTTACTGAAATTTTATATACACAAAATATACTGGCACAGTGATGCTTAACTATCTGTTCCTTCTGCTTGGCCATGTGGTCACATGGTCAAGCACAAGGGATACACAGAGAATTGTCACTGTATCATACATCCTGTAACTTCCTTTTGCAGCTCTGCAATGAAGAATCCAGCACTTCTTTACTCAACCCACTCTGTGTGTAAGTTCCCTGCTGATGATGGGAGACTAGTAAGGGAGTCAGGGGAACAGCAAACCTTAGTTCTGTGTTACACCGGCTCCGTTCTGACCACACTGTGAACGCTCCAAGTTTTAGAGATAAATTGAATGGCACAACCTGAACAGGAATGTTCTGGTCAGCGCTATGCAATGCAAGAATGTAGAGGTGCATACTGAATTTTTTCAGTCACTAACATTACAGTATACATGCTATACAAATTGCCATCAATAGGATAGGTACATGTGTGGTTGTCTGCTGTTATGCCTCATAGAGCCAAGAAAATACTTTTCATATTGTTTATAGCACGCCACTGCTTTAGCAATTGCTGTACAGTGGAATGTATAGAAAGCATACAGCCTGCCTTTCTGTCTTGTTAAAGGAAACCCTAACTGGCTGTTTTTTGCACTCGGAACACTGACATGCATCCTTTCGATTGCTCTCTAAAGGCTTAGCTTTTTGTTCACATGATGCCTGTTGAATTATAGAATTACTTATTCTGCACTCTGAAAGGAGAATGAAGTGGCTTTTTACCTAGAATAAGGCAATTCATTTAATGCTTCCTTACTGTTTCTTTATCCACCCCAGCAATTGTTGACATTTGACTATAGATTCACCTTTCAGTGCTTATATATTTATATATCTGTATATTGGAATGTGTGCAGATGTGTGAATGCAGTGAATTTTAAATGTATTTAACATCCTCAGTTTTGACTTAAAGCAGCCCTGTCATAAACTCCATTCAGTCGAAATGTTCTAATGAAGTCTGTAGAGAAACTGACTATTTTGGGGGTGTCAAACTCCTGGGTCCCCAGCTTTCACAGGTTTTTTCTTTTGAACTTCTTGTGACTAGTATGTTCTGTAAAGGGTGGACGTAGGAGGGGAGACAAATAAGAGCTGTGGGGGACCCAGGACATTGACACTCTTACATGTGTTGATTTCCCTGCTGATTTCAGCAATAGATATATACTGAACTGCATGGCATTCAGGAGGTGTGGCCAGGGGGAAATGTAAGTCATTTCTTTGGGCTTCTTCATTTTATGACACTTTCACTAAAGGCAACTGCACTTTTCAGACATGTATAAAACAGGGCAGTGCAATTGTCACCTTTGTGATATTATTTATGCCTGTCTTTCCAGTTCTCGACCAGTCGTGTCTGCAGAATGCAGCCGTTAAAATGATTCCAAACACAGACTTATGGAAATAGCTGCATTCTGTAGACACAGCTGTGTTGACAACTTGTGAGTGTTACCCATTGTAAAGTATTATTTAAAAACAAGTACAGGTATAAGGAAGATAAGTAATATAAACGATACAGCTGATCATGATGCCACCCTACACTGCTGTATCTAATCTGTCAGAATGAAGTTGCATTGAAATTGTATTCACTATGCAATTGAAACCACCAAGACTGATCATTTTAGAAAATGGTGTTGTGATATACTCACAGTAGCTTAATTGGAAATAACCCTAGTGCCCTATAACATTACACTGAGTTAGCCTGACAATAGTAAAGATATTGTGCATATTAAACATTAAGGCTGAATGCCAGGCCCAAAAACGTTCATTCACTTGTATACATTATTAGTCACAAAGGATATAAAGTCCACCCGCTTAAGGCTGCCTACAGAAAAATATAGAGGGGTGGATACTTAGTCAGTCACCATGCACAGAAAGGGAACAGCAGTGAACATACTTTATTACAGGAAGCTTCTGCACACAAGCAAAATTCAGGACTTGCTTCATGTTGGGTAACTGCACAGATCTGGAAGAAATACTCAAAGGACACTAAGATTCAGGTTAAAATATGCATGGCTCTTGTATTTGCACTATATTTGTTTAGTTGTTTTCAGTTTTTATATCCTATGAATAGTGTAAATGTAGAGTCTGAAAACGGTTCAAATCATTTCTCCAAAAAAGTGTAAATTTGTGTACTTTGCAGGTAAAGGCACTAGTAGGAGAACAATTGTTCAGCCGCTATGATCGTCTCCTCTTGCAATCCAGTTTGGACTTGATGACTGATGTGGTTTATTGTCCTCGGCCAAGCTGTCAGACTCCTGTAATGCAAGAGCCAGGGGGCACAATGGGTATTTGCACAAGCTGTCGGTATGCTTTTTGTACCCTTTGTAGGATGACCTACCACGGAGTCTCCCCATGCAAACTAACTTCAGGTAGGTCTATATTGGCTTTGTAACAAGATATGATGTCTTTTCGGGAGGCTGTTTACTTTTTTGCCCCTCTAAGGACAGCTATGGAAAAATAGAAAAATTGCTGTCACAATGTAGATTAATTGTGGAGACAAGGAAGGGGGTGTCGTGCTCCACTTACTTTCACATGGCTGATTCAAGTATTTTTTTTTTTTATTCTCTGTTCTAACTGTGACATCTTAGTGTAGGTCCTTCTAAGACCACTAGCCAGAAGAAATGATCCTTGTATTACACACAAAAAAATCATCTGTTTAAACAGACCCCCCTCTCTCGACTCCTATAAGTACACTCAAATGTCCCACCTTCTCTCAGTTTTGTTCTTTCATGTGTTGGTGGTGCTGGTTTTAGGGCTGTAGGTGAGGCTGTGGTCCTCTCCCTATTCTCCCTTCTGTGCTTGGACCTTTACTTTTTCTGCTCTGTAATATTCAATTGTAAATAAATGTTTGAACCCTTTCAGATTTGTATTGTTTTCAGTTTCTGTTGAGCTGATATCCTTCTACTTTCCTGTCCTGTCCTTGTGACCGGAATCTGCTCTTAGACAATTTATCACCAGAACTGTTCTAGTGACAATTTATCATCACTTTTTTTGTGCAGATGACAGTAGTCACCATGATAATAAAGGGGGATGTTGTTCCCAGGTGGTACACAGACAGCACTTAAAATTCTAACAGGGATTCTAATGCTCCCCCACTCTACCAAAAACAAAAGAGTTTTGGCTTGAGCGTTACATTTATTGACCATTTTTTTTTACCTGCTGTCTAAAAACCCTCTCCCCAACCTTATTGTCCATCACCCACTGCCATCTATTCCTCGTGCAGTCTTGCGCTGATCCCACATTTAGTGTCTCGTTTCTTCTCTGATGCTCTCTTTGCTCTTAAGGTCAGAAGTGCACCTCTGCTCCAATACCCCTTCTTCTCTAAGTACCATCCAATCCTCCAGTGCATTGCCCCAATAGCACAGCAGGAGGACTTTTGTTGGGAAGACCCAGCTGTGAGGAGGGAAAATAAAAAGCAGAGGTACTAGAAGAACAGGAGGGGAGAAAAGAATGTCTCGTCAAAAGCCAGGGAGCACAAATCTGCAACCCACACTAGAGAAGTGCTAAGCATATTGGGATAAAGACAAAATCTTTGGGTAGAGCTATAGGAGGCAAACATGGGGTTTCTGTGTAAATGCCTTTTTGTGTGTTAAAAAAGTCCTTTTCTGGTTACAAGCTCTAAGATATCAGGGACGTGCAGAGATCTAGGCACTAAGTCACTTTTTAAAATCTCAAATAGTAAATAAATTGCATATGGTTCATGCCACAGTGTTCAGCCAGTGATGGCAGCAGTGGAAAGGTTCTTTTTTCGACTATGCCTATTTACTGATGGCTGTTCTCAGGGATCCGTGTTTTTGTGGAAATGTGTTTTCATTTTGCAGCTTAGCTCCCTGAGCGGTGCTGTAAAGTAAATGAAAATATATTATATTTGGTTCCAGTGTAGTCAAACTGGATCCATCATCCTATAAAATAAAATGAAGCCTTAAAGTGTAACTACAATTTTGTTGAGAAAAAGCAATCCCCTCCATTTTTTTTTTTGAATGGGAAGGTTTGGGTTCATTATAACCACTTGGTACACTTTCTGTGTTCTAATGAGGATAGCTTCAGTGTCCACATCCCTTTTAGAAAAAGTTGATCCTTAGGGAGTTTTTTTTTTAACCAAAAAGGAAGATTCAATTGAAGGGGATGCCTAAAATTTTACTTGTATCTTAGTGCAGACTACTGGGAAAATGTATGAGCCAATCACACAAGCAGGAAATTACATATTTGGGGGTATTCTGTAGTTCATCAGTGTACAGAACACCTCCAAGTTGCCATACTGCATTGAATTTGTGAACAATTGTTTCTAACATTTCTAGAAAATTAAAGTAGCTTCAGATTAAAAAAGAAAGATCATTTTTTGTATAATAAATTACTAAATAATAATATTAAATCACAAAATGGCATGTGTAGCAGTTTTAATTGCTATATATTTTTTTTTTAACGAAAGTGGAGTTTTCCTTTCATGGGGAAAGTATGGTGGTTTTAAATTCTTTTCTATTGTTCTTATATTATTCTCTTTCCTTTTCTTTTTTTCCCTTTTTATATTTGTAAAAAAATAAATGATATACATAGGAATCAAATTATATAAAATATCAGTTTACAACCTCCTAAATTAAAAATAAATAAAAATAAATTGATTTTAAAAAACACTATAGTTTCTCTTTAAATTAAATAGTTGGTCCACAACAGTAGGTGGGAAACATTCATAGTGAAGGATTTGCTATAGTTGATCCTAAAGTTAGATAGGGATTTAAAGGTTTCCAAAGCCTTTAAGAGATTTGGAATTAAATTGAGAGACTGGGTGAGGGGGGGAAAAAGGTCATAGTTAAATGTGAAACTTTGTAGGTATGGGAAGTAGAAATACCATGAATGTTTTGATCTGTGTGTACCAAATGGAGAAAGGACTTCAAGTTAATGACGAAGATTAAGGGGGAGAGCAGACAGCCCTGTCGAGTGCCATTGTGGATGCGGAAGGTGTCTGATGGGTAGCCATTAACATGGACACTAGCATAAGGATTTGTGTATAAAGTCATGATACGAGCAAGCGTCCGATTTTCAATGCCCAAAAAGCATAGTGTGTCCTGTATATAGTCCCAGGCCATTCTATCGATCGCCTTCTCAGCATCAGTGGATAGGAAAAGGCTTGGTGTTTTAGACAGTTGCCCAGTGCTGTAGGTTAAGTGGCTTAATTGTATTATCGCGGGATTCCCTGCCTGGGATGAAACCCGCCTGGTCTAAGTCCATAATCGAAGGAAGGTGAGGTAAAAAATGGTTCACCAGAACATTTGCGCACACTTAAGATCAACATTGAGCACAGAGATCAGCCTGTAGCCAGCGTAATAGGCAGGGTTTTTACTCTCCTTAGGGATCACTGTGACGTGGGCTTCCAGGAGATGATTTGACTGTAGTGGAGATTCACCAGGAAGGTTAAAGGCCATTATAAACTGTGGAATTATCCAATTTTTTTTAGCAGATCTCATGCAACCTACACTCTGGCAACTTTGTATCTTAATTGCTTAGAAGCATGTGATATGCAAGATTACTTGGTACTTTGTGACAGCAGATTATTGGGTGCTAGTAAAAGGCATGTTCAGTTTTTGGATGTCCAACAGCACTTATATACTTGCTCCTGTAGCTATGTTTCCAATGTTTAAAGGGAGGGAGAAAGCACCCTATTGGTGGTGAGGCATATTAATTCTCAAAGCATTTTGTGCCATATTTTTCTGTAATGCAACATTTATCTTTCTATATTTTTTGCTTGTCTAATAATGAATACGTTTTCTCATTTATGTAAAGCTAATTAAAGACGCAATATCTCTTTTTAAGCACTCTGTAATCCAGCGTTTTTTCTTTCATTTGTTTTAGAGAAGCTGCTTACAGTGCGTAATGAATATATGGCTGCAGACGAGGATGGTAAGAAATTTCTAGAGAAGAGATATGGGCGAGTCCTGCAGAAGGCAATGGAAGAACTGGAGAGTCTGGATTGGCTAGAGCAAAACTCCAAGGCCTGTCCTCGCTGTGGAACCTACATTCAGGCAAGCGGTCGGAGTCTCACAAAGATATACAGGGCAGGCTAGAGGATAAAGAGAAGGCATATATCCATCTTGCATTTTTTTTTGCATCTGTCCTCGATCTAGCTTAGACAACAAATCAACTGACTTGTAAACAGATTGTGGGAAGAACAGTAAAGCACAACCTAGCACTGCAAACCCAGAAACTGGACTCAATATGCAAAGAGCAAACATGGTTTCTAAAATAGTAGCACATATTAATACAAATTTTTTCACCAAGCCTGTCAAACTCAGAGGATACAGTGGGACGAATGGAGACTTCATTTTGGAAGGGGGCTGCATTACGTCTCCCCACCTACTTAAAGTGACACTAAACTCAGGAATTTAAATCTTGAAAATGCATTCAAATGCCTTAACTATTAACAATAATGTAGATTATTTATGTATCACTCAGCTGTAGATACTCAAATCATATCTCTGAATTAATGTTGACACTGTCCTTCCTTCTGAAGGGTGGCTACTTTTGTTCTACATGGTCCCTGTGTGTGTTATCTAGAGGCAGAGCCAGCTGTACCCGCCCCCTCCCCCGTCCGTTCTGCCAGTCAGCGCTGGCAGATCGGAGAGGGGAATCCAGTCCCTCCCCGTGTCACGGCAGAGAGCCGTGACAGGATCGAGAGGTGAGTAAACCTGGTATGTGTTCGCTCACCTCCAGATCTATTGAGCCGACCTGTGACAGTCTCATTGTCGCAGGTCGGCTAGAACTATGAGGTGAGTGGAAATCACTCATCCCATAGTTCTCCTTTACAGAAGAACTCTGGGGAAAAGTATTATTAACCCTTAAAGTGGGTTCTACCCCACACTGCAAGGGTTAACTGCTCATTTGTGTCTAGGTGTTAAAACAAAAAAAAAGTTATACTAACTTGAACTGCCGCGCTGACTCCCTGCTTCTCCGGTCACTGAAGCGTCTCTCCTCCTCTTCTGCGCAGATGGATTGTTCCTCAGTGTCCTCATTTCTGTACACTTGTATACAGTGTAATGACACAAGGTTTCTTATACAGCTGCATTGTTTGGGGGGAGAGAGGCTCTAGGGACTGGTCTAAGAACAAGCCGTCTGGAATGAAGGGGTGAGTATTTTTTTTCAGAACATAGAAACAAACCAGCAGTTAACCCTTGCAGTGCCGGGGTAACCCCACTGCAAGGGTTATTACAATTTTTCCATTATGAAAATCCCTAATATGCCTCAACATATTATTTCTTTATATTGTTCACATGCTTACTAATCCTCTGATGCAGCATCATCAGCATGCCAACATGCTGAAGCCCACATGGACATTCCAAAAAATAGATGACATGGGAGATATTACAAGTAATGATTATTGATATTATATTTCTTCCCAATTGTTCTGGATATAAAAATTAATTTCTTTCTAATGGCAGTAATCTTTATCCTCATACCTTGTAATAATACCCTCAGACTGTTCCATATAATCTTTACTTAGTGAACAGTTGCTTTTTATGCTCATAAATTGCTCTTTCGGTATTGCAGCAATCCATTTTGGGTGATGACAAATTTTTGCTGGAAAATATCTGTTCTGATCTGTTTTCTTAAAAAAGAATTTGGTAAGGAGGACTACCGGTAATAAGGAAGTTTTCATTACACCCCATAGTGTATGAGTAGGTCATTTCATGTGTTAGTACAAGATGACAAAGTGTAATATATGTTTTTGTTTTTACAGAAAATTGATGGGTGCAACAAAATGGTCTGCACTGGGTGCAGACAGTACTTCTGCTGGTTGTGTATGAGGATATTGTCTAGAGGAAATCCATACGAGCATTTTAATGACCCTTCTTCAGACTGTTTTAATCAGTATGTATATGTCTCCAGTTTAAATAATAATTGTAGTATGTATATGGCTCCAGTTTTATGAATAATTCCAGTTTCTCACCAAATGTGAGAAATGAAAATTACCCCCACCAGTCCGCCCCCACTGCTCATTCCTTTAGCAGCCAGTGTACTATCTGTACACCGTACACAAAACTGCAGCCTGGTACTCTGAATTTTGAAAACGCTTGCAAACGGTGAGCAATCATCTAACCACACTGACCAATGAGTGTTCTCTGTTTGCAAGCGTTATACATAATTCTGAGTGCCGGGCTGCAGTTTTGGGTACAATTGGTACACTGGCTGCGGCGGGTGGGGGAGAGGACTCTGCTAAAGGTATGACCAGTGTGCTAGGGGGTAGAGGGGATGGATTTGTGGGGGCAATCTCAGTTTCTCACATTTGGTAAGAAACTGCAATGACCCTTTATGTTGCTTGTTAATTTATTTGACCTCACATTTCTAAATGTTATACTCGCATCAGACCTAAAGAGGAACTGAACTTTGGAAGCTGTGCTTTAAAAAGGCAGGGGCTACAGGAGTGCCTAAGCACACTCGCATAGACAGGCATACACTGTTATTTTTCAAAGCAACACACCATATTGCGGTACCACGTGTTGTGCACCACAGCAACACATTCCTTGCGGCAGGTGCATTGCAGGGGAGGGGGGGTGCATTCATAATTAATAGCATGTAGTACTGTGTGCTGTGCAATAGCATATGTTAAAATGACAGATCTCGCTCAGTTAACACAACACTATGGTGTGCATGGGTCCTAAATCCACAAGTAATTTTTTTCTATTATCCGCTGAGGGGCACAGCTTCATGATAATTGAGCTAAGCCACCTATAGGAGAAATGGACACTAGGCACAAAGCGAACATATTTTCTATGTTTTCTGGGCAAAGAAAACTAGGCATTGTTTATTCCCAAACTACCATTTGAGTTTAGCTCTGTTGTGTGCTTTGGTGGCTGGGCAGGGTCTTCTGTCCATAATGCTGTTTGACTTTCCCACTGCTCCTTAAGCTTGACTTGATGATGCAGCACAGTAGTTAGTGCGTGCACGTATCGGCTTCTCTTCCTTCCCGTGTCTTCTCACCCATCACAGCAGCTCTGCTGGAGACTCACAGATCGGACCTGAGGGACGTTGCGCAGCAGGTTTTTAAAGTGGAAGTACCCTACGGTGGATCTATGTGATACAGTTTCCTGTTTTACTGCTGCAACAGCCTTTTTCTCTCCAGTTGATAGTCTGCACTCAGGGACACAGTGGGTGGCAGCAACACAACCTGTGAATATGGCTCTCTGCCTGCAGTGACAGCGGTCACACAGACATACCTTCTCAGCTGGCCTGTGACTGCCCTGGGAGGAACGGGGTATCTCTATTGGTTTGAGGAGCAACCAAATTAAGAGATCAATAAAAGAGTGAGTGGCACAGGGGCGTGTGGACAGGTAGGCACTGACCAGCAATTTGAGGGGTTTAACAAAACGGTTTAGAAATGCAAGGAGGAAGGGGGTGGTTGACAGCAATGCAAAGGGTCAGGGGAAGAGGTTACCAGCACTGACCAGAAATGCAAGGTGTGGGAGGGGATTTACAGTACTTCCCAGCAATGCAAGGTGGGGAGGGGGATTAACAGCACTCACCAGCAATGTAAGGGGACAGGGGGTTAACAGAACTCACCAGCAATTTGAAGTTGGGTGGGGGGGTTGGGGTTAAACAGCAGTAACCAGCAATTAAGGGGTGGGGGGGAGGAGTAAACAGCACTGAGCAACAATGTGGGGGAAGAAGGGGGTTAACAGTATAGGCCATTGACTTGTGTGGGAGTTAATAGCACTGACCAGCAAAGCGAGGGGGGAGGGGGGGGCGCAGTTGGTGACTGACACCATTGCTGGGGGCTATTATTATATCTCCTGACACCAGTGCTTGCGTTGTTATTGCTGCTACTGACAACATTGCTGGGGGTATTACTGCTGTCGCTGACACGAATGCTGGAGTTATTATTGTAGCCACTGACACCAATGCTGGGGCTTATTTTTAGTGCTGTCACTGACACCAATGCAGGGGTTTAATATTGTGGCCACTGACACCAATGCTAGGGATTACTATGGTGGTCACTGACACCATTGCTGCCGGTTATTATTGCGGTAATTGATACCAGTGCTGAGGGTTATTATTGCTGCCACTGACGCCAATGCTGGAAGTTATTATTGCAGCCACTGATGCAGGACTGACACCAACGATAGGACTTTATTCCCACTTTCTCTAAAGTGTGAATTACAGCAGAACACACATTTTTGATGTGTTACAGGCCATTCATTTTAAATGGGCTGTCTAAGTTATTGCAATGCACCTCAATGCATGAAAACATGCAGAATGTTTCCTCATCCCTTTATTTGATTAATTTATCTTTATCCTTTGTGCCTCCATTGTTCCTGGCACTCTATCACATTGAGGACTTTTTCTCGTAGGGGTCTACTCCTCCTGTAATTGTCTCACCTTAACGAATCTCTGATCATTCTTATAGAAGACACTCCAGCCTGTAAGGACCCTACTGACAAGCAATTGGAAGCAGTTTCTTGATCCATCTACTCCCTGGTGGCCTTTCAATCCATTCAAGCCTGTACAACCCCAATTCCAAAAAATGCATGATAGAGCTTTAACTTGCATTGTGGAATGGCACAGCGGGTGGCACAGACAGTGATTTTAGGAAGTATTCCTGTGCCCATGCAGTGATGTCCATCACAGAATCATGCCTGTTTTTAATGCAGTGCCGTCTGACGGCTTGAAGATCATGGGCATCAAATATTGCGTTTCGGCCTTGTCCCTTGCGCACAGAGATTTCTCCAGATTCTCTGAATCTTTTGTTGATATTATCTACTGTAGACGATGATGTATTTAAAGGCTTTGTAATTTCACTTTGAGGAACATTATTCTGAAATTGCTTGACAATTGTTAGACGCAGCTTTTCACAGATTGGTAAACCTCTGCCCATCTTTACTTCTGAGACACTCTGACTCTCTAATATGCTCTTTTTATACCCAATCATGTTACAGACCTGTTGCCAATTAACCTAATTAGTTGAAAAAAGTTCTTCCAGCTCTTCCTTGTTAGTACCACTTACATTGCCAGCTTATTGCTGCCCTGTCCCGACTTTTTCTTCTTTAAAATGGTTCATTTTCTCGGTTTAAACATTTGATATGTTTTCTTTTTTCTATTGTGAATACAATCTGGGTTTATGAGATTTACAAATCATTGCATTCTGTTTTTATGTAGATTTTACACTGGTCCCAACTTTTTTTGAAATTGGGGTGGTACTCTTTTCCTAGACTTCAGTTGACTAGTCTAAATTGCTGAACAGGGGTCTGGCGACTGCTGGTCAACACAATGATTGTGTTATACTTTATTTGCAATGCAATTGCAAAGTTCTGTTTCGGGCAACCCTTTCTTCTGCCCAGATCCACAGGGCAATCCGGATTAAGTGCTGGTCGGCAGAGCTTGTTTGAAGGCTTTGTTATGACTACCTTTTCGTGGGAGACCAACTTTTTTCCTCTTCACTGGATCATATTATTAAAAAGGCAATGGGGGGAAAAAATACTCTCCTACCCCAGCTACACAAAAATAAGGATCAATGGGGCAGGTCTAGACTTTCCTATCCTGCATCAAAATATTCCTTTTGTTTCTCAAGTCTTCTTCCACCTCCCGGAGCTTGGGGGGTTTAATCGTCCATGACAAAACAGGGTTTCTAAACCTGAAGAGAAATCAACTTCTGCATGAAGGACTCCCCACCCCCCACCAGCACCTTCAGAGGTGGATGGAATCTGGTAATTTGTCTTCTTTCATTGCAGAGACGTATTTACGCATTCCTATCTTTCCAGGTCATCAGCAATTTCTTCGCTTTGACGTAGAGGACAACCACTATCAGTTGGTGGCCTTTCACTTGGGCCTTGCCTGGACCTCAAGAGTATTCACAAACGTCCTTGCACCAGTTCTTTTTGAAACTTTCAGCTAATCTACTTTAAAGGATCGAAACTGAGGATAATTGCAGTCATTCTCATAGCACCAGATTGGCTTCAGAGAGTGTTGTACACCGACCTTGTTCGTCTGTTAGTCATTGTTCCATGGCCTCTACTAGATCAGCCAGATCTGTTTTCCCAAGAACCGATCATCTATTCTTCTTCTAGGTCTCTGGCTTTGACGGCATAGGTGTTGAAAGCCATGTTCTGATAGACATTTCAGATGTTACAAAGACCCTCAATTGAACCTACATTTTATTATCTTTGTTAATTCGTAAGCAGCCTTTCTTGTGTACATCACTTCAGCCAGATAGGTTTCTGAGTTATCAATGTTTTCCTGCAAGGATCCCATTTGATCTTAAATTAAGACAAGGTTGTCTTGAGACCAAGGAGAAGTCACCTGGCTCTTTGCTTCTGCATGGTAGACCTGGGGCTGATGGTAGCCTTGAGGCCTTTAAGGCAACACAATTTGCTTAGTTTCACTCCAGACCCCTACAACACAACATTTTGTTGTCGTGAGACATGTTGGTCCAGTCCTTGGACATACTGATTTGTCGGGTTGTCTCTGGCTTAGTGAGTCAGCAGTCTGGCTCTGGAGTTGGTGATGTCCTTTCTTCTGGAAGATCCTCACAATGGATGCCAACCTGTCAGACTGGGGGAGGAGTCTGGGCACAAAAACTGTAGAACCAGCACACGATCTTCCAAAGAAAATCAAACTTTATTCCAAATGCATCTATTCAAAAGACCACAACTGATGCATTTCTGCCTTACCTGGCCTTAGTCATAGAAGAGTCCTGGGCACCCTGGTGGTGCAGTGGAATTGGATGTTGGAGGAATCTTGTTTCACTATCAACATTCTGGAACTTGGTTAGAGGGTCATCCAATCCAGATTTAGTTAGACAATACCACTGCAGAGGCATGCATTAGCCATCAGGGAGGAACCAGAAGTCTCAGCACAGCAGAAAAGGTAGAGCAGATCCTGTGCTAGACAAAACGTAATGTTTCAGCTTTGTCCACCGTTTATATCCTGGGCTTGGATAATTGGCAGCAGACTTCCTTAGCTGGTAGTACACCTAGAGGTTTTCCAGGTGGAGTCATCGGGTGTGGACCTCCAGGTTTAACAGGAAATTGGACAGTTTGTTTCCAGTTACTGGGATCCTTTAGTGCTGCGGTTCTCCTAGAGGCTCCCGGCCACCCAAGAGAGAAGCACTTTCTCTGCTCTTTTTTTTTTTTTTCCTGACATCGGGCCCGCAGTCAGTTAGAAACCACTATAGGAATGCATAGCTAGATTCCTATTTGGCTATTTCACTTTGCACTAGCCAATAGCAAACTAGCTATTGCACCCGCCCACTGCTGCTGTCAGCAGAGGGGGACCTGCAGTTCTCCATCAGGTCCCCATCTAGTGATTGACAGCAGCAGAAAGGTGTTACTCTGCTCCATCGAGCAGACTAAACTTTTCCAGGAGAAAGTTATAAAAAACAATAAGATAAAAAAATTATTAAAAGTAAAAAAGTAAACGATAAGATAAACATTTTAAAAAGTAAAAAAATAAACAATAAAAAAATAAAACTAACAAAACTAATGCAAGTCCTCCTCAGCCCTCTCCTAGCGCAGCAGTGAAAGTTCTCCTGCCACGCCGCCAGATTTCGCTGCAGCAGCCGCGTCATCCCTAAATTTTATCGTTGGGGGTCACCACAACTTTGCAAATGTTACCAAGGGGTCCCGACCCTAGAAAGGTTGAGAACCACTGCTTTAGTGGAAGCAGTGGATGTCCTGGTACACACTTAGCCCTTTCCTCCACTTTGATTTCGACAGAGGGCATTCCAGTGATCCTCATAGCTCTGCGTTGGCCCAGGTGTATGTGGTACTGATAAGACTCTGGTGGATGCTCAGTGGGCCCTTCCAGATGATCTGCATTTCTTTTATTGAGGACTGATTTACCAACCTGTTTCAGGATCAATGGCTTTACCCACATGGCTATTCAAGCTCAAGTACTGACCGACAGAGGCATCTCTAAATTGGGTATTCCCAGAATTCTAAAAGCTGGGAAGTCTACGTCTCGACCCATTTCTAAAACTTCCCGGTGACCACGCTGACCAATGAGAAGCTCTTCTTAGGAGGAAGCGCTTCTCATTGGTCAGCGTGGTCAGAAGCGCTTCTCCTTGTGAGGGCCAATGAGTTCTTGCCATTTACGAGCGAAATTCAAAATCCAGAGCGCAGGACTGCGCTAAATGACAGTACGGGGTACAGATCGTACACCGACATCGGAAGAGGGGAAGGACCGTTCGCCGAAAGGTAAGTATAGCAGGGAGGGAGAGGGGGCCAGATTGGAGGGGGTAATTCCATTTTCCCAAATTCACTTGGGAAAGTGGAATTACCCTTTAGTGTAGCATCACTGTTGACTACTGTCTCATTTATGCTGTAATTCAAACCTAGTACTTGCATAGCCTGATTAATAGAAGATAATAATTGTACTTCTGTGTATTTTTATTTTCAGCTTGTTTCATGGAGCTAACGTGGATGAGGATCTTTTTGAATGACGTGAAGGAAATTGTAAATGCTACCAAAAAGCCACTTTATTTGCACAGAAAGGAATGTAGGCCTTATATTATATTTTCACATTAAGACAAACTTTATAATAATTGTGTGAACGAGGATAAATAAATAAAGAAAAACACTGGAATCATTTGATAATTGTAGAGGTTTGCCTATGTTCAAAAAATAAGTGTCCAATGATTATACAAGATGATGTCCTTTGTTTAACCCCTTCATGACTGAGGCCCTTTTTTCAATTTTTGCACCCATGTTATATTCCACATTTTAGGCCTGAAAATGACGTAAAACCCCCCAACATTATATATTTTCTGAATGCCAAGACCCTATAGAATAAAATGGTGGTAGTTGAAAATTTTTATGTTGCGCAATATTAGCGCAACTCCTTATTAAACCCCAAAATTTAGTGACAAATTTAATTAAATGCCCCAAAACACAACAAATTACCCATTTTTTAAATGAAATATAAAAGATGAGGTTACAACGAGTAAAACAATACCCAACATGCCCAGTTTACAGATTGCGTGCGACCGTGAAACGGCGAAAAACTGCAGTACCCCAAAAAGTCAATAAAAGACACTTTAAAAGCCCCCACAGGTCATCAATTTAGAAATACCCCAAAATACTGGCCCTAGGATTATTGCTCTCACTCCGGCGTGCGCGGCGATACCCAACATGTGTAGCGCGTTCGTCGTTTTCATGCGTAGGCGCACCCGACGCGTGTTTACGTGGCGACGCGCGTGCTCGCGGGGGCGGGGTACTTTTAAAAATTTTTTATTATTATTATTAGATTTATTTTATTTCATTTTAATTTTAAAAACTGTTTTTTTTTTTTTTTTTACTTTACTTTGACTGCTATCACATGGGGGGGCTTGCAAGCCCCCCCATGTAATAGCAGATGGTGGTGACAGGTCCTCTTTAAGGTGATGCTGGGGGTCCAAAAGACCCTCAGTGTCACCTTTACACTGGAAATAAGCTATTGAAGTGCAGATCGCACTTCAATAGCTTATAGCTGGGCTGCAGGAGCCCAGAACTGACAGCCCAGGGACCGGAAGTGATGCAATCTGCATCGCTCCCGGTCCCATAGAACGGGGAGGGGATCGATGAACGGAAGTTCGTCGACCTCCTCCCCAGCTCCCCGCGGACACAAAGATCGCCGGTCCCGGGCCCGTAGGAGGGGCAACGGAGCCCGGGAAGCACGGCGGGGGTGTCCGGCGGGGGGGGCGGCCCCTTCTTCGGGACGCAGAAGCGATCTGGCGACAGGTAAGTCGCCAGGATCGCTTCTGTTGTAAAGCCGACAGTCGGCTCTACAAGTTTAAACAGAGTCCCGGCGGCAAAAGTCGCCGGGAGTCTGTTTAAACAGCCCCGATGCTGGCGACGTACACTGTACGTCGTCAGTCACGAAGGGGTTAAAAACAAAGTGCAGTGGGATGTGTTAAACCATAGCAGACAATCAGAATATGTTTCAGTTTATATTGCAATAATCGATTTTAAAAATAATTTCCTGCTGATTGAAAGTGATTGTGGTTGCACGTGTAAAGGAAAACCAAATACAAAATCATGAAACACTGCACTTCATCATTGCAAATGTCTGAATAAAAATGCTATGTTGCCAATAGCACACATTCAGGCTCTTCCTTTCATATTTTTAATGGGGACGAGCTTACAGGGCAAAACATTTCTTCTTTCAGACATTTGCAATCATGAGACCAAGTGAAAAAAGAAAAATATACATACAATCCTAGTATGAGGCTAAAATACAGACACCTTTCTAAGTTTGCTTCTGCCTGTCAAGTGCCTTTTTGCCATTAAAAACCTCCCGCATTTGAACCTGGCTTTGTCATAATGGTGCGGCTTATTATATAATTTACATCTTGTTTCAGCCCTGTTCTTTACTATTTATATCACTGAATCATATCAGTATAATAGAAGGGAAATCATGTAATTTTTCAGTGAAAAGCCCAATGCAGAGATTGTGTGTTTTGTATAACAGCACATGTTTGCTAAATGCAGCTACTGATTTGTTTTACAAGGACCAACATGTAGATATCACACCTCTACTGACGAATACCATGCCTAGTCTACTGAACTCTACCTATAAACAAGAAGAATATTGTCCAGTCAACTTGTGATTTTTTTTTTTTGTCTTTTGGAAGAATTAATATGCAGCAGACACCCCAGTCAGTTTATCTTGGGTAGGATTATATTTTTAGATAGCTGGTGGTGTTCCTTCTAAGATATAGCCAGTTCCAGGGTTGTCTGCCTGATCGACTCCCTCCCATATTTATACATTTTAAACATGCACTTGACTACCTTCTTATGCCTGTGGCCAGCTCAGCTCTGAAAAATCTTTGATACCGCTCCTGTGACTTTATGGTAACTCTCAGGTCCAGACAGGCTATGAACACTGCCCAGTGCAGAAAATGCCATAGCACTATAGACCATGTCCAAGCTACATCAAACCTGTGTGTTCAGGGTGTTTGATTAGGAGAGTAAGGGAGAATCCCTGATAGATTTGATTTTGAAAATGAAAGTACAGCTACATTTTAAACTTAATTCTGAGCTTTGCCATAACCTTGCTACCCTACAAACCAATAAGACCAGCATTACTGATAGCTGAGGCCCTTTCAATGGTTAGTGGTCAAAACCTCCAAATCAAGGATTCTGGGCACAAAGGGGCTAGTAAAACCTGTGGCAAATTCCTATTTGAATTACTGAAATCCTTACACTGAATTCCAGCCCTTAAGTACGGAGTTACATGTTTGTATAAGAGAGATAGGAAAACGCCTAATTTGAATGATATATTATCTCCTCAGTCTATATCCACATAGAACTGATATTTGATCCTAGCATGCTACATTGGCTGCTTAGATTGCTCCAGGGATTCAAAACCAACCATTAAGTCTGCAGAAAGATCTTTATGTGGGTTGCTATATCAAGCTGATCTCTGCAGTGTGTTTGGCACACTTATACCTTTACATATTATTGTGTTTTCTTCCAACATGTGCGACAGTCGCCTTAGTGTTTGCATATTTATATGTCGGTGTTTGCTTTAAATCTGTATGTTTTTAATCCAGTACTGTGCTCACCCTTTTATCTGACCTATTTGGTGATCCCTGCATATCTCAGTTTAGCATTATCCAGAGGTAAGTTCTTTCCTCTAACAGCCCCACCACTATAACCAATAGGCCAAGAGAGAAAATAGTCAGTCCCCTGACTGAATTCTAATGAGAGGAACAAGAGAATTCAGTGGATGGAATCTGACAATGATCTAGAGCCTTGGTTCTCAACTGGTGTGTCGTGACCCAAAAGTGGGCCGCAACCTTGTTTTCAGTGGGACGCCACATGCCTTCCACTTTTCTATGTGAGAGGCTCCTCAGCCTCCCCCTAGCGTAGCAATATCAGTTGTTGCCGTGAACAGCCATTCAGAATATGCTGCCTGGCACCAAGTGACAGCTTGAGCAGGGGTGGGCTGGAGGTATGGCCGCGAGGGAGCTTCATCCATACATGCATTGCTTACAGTTTCCTCATGTGACCTACAGGGCGCACCAGGGAGTTGTACAAGCAATGCATGTATGGATGGAGCTCCATCACAGCAGCCAAGCACTGGACCCCAAGCTGAGGATGGCACGCACGGTACCGCGATGCCGTGCGTTCCATTGCAGCGCGACTTGGGTCACCACTTAATGTCCAAGGACAAATGTGGGTCCTGAGGTTACACAGGTTGAGAACCACTGATCTAGAGTAAGCAAGTGATAGGCAGACGGCGAATTGGTGGCCGCAACATCTTTCCTCAGTAGACACAGAGATATGTTATCTGTGGGCTTTAGGGTGAACCTGTGACCGGGCAATGGACATTATAGCATTTACATGTTCTTAACAAGAAGTAAATGAGCTATAAAACAATGATTTTTGTAGCAACAGGCATTGTAATGAAAATAGGCACTGAATTTGTTCAAGTTGTTCTCTCCCCTGCTGAGAAACTGCTTAGAACCTGACTTCAGTACCTGCACTGTGATCCTTGAGGTTTAATTGCCCAACAGTGCCTGCAGTTGCAGAGCTCAATGAGGGGTTGTGTTGACACTTATTTACTGATGTTAAGAATATGTTAATACTTTAATGACCATTACCTGGTCACAGCTTGCATACTAACATTCACCTAATAATGAAATATAGGCACATCCATTGCAATATTTACTAAAGTCTTTATGCATGTTCTTATTATAGTCTAGAGTGCCTGTATATTTTCTGCTTGTTTAACGGCAGTTAAAGTAAACCTGTCACAAAGCTGGGAAAGTAAAATGTAGGTCACGATGGAAAAATGCATTGGCAGAGTTAACCTTTAGGTAGAATCACTTGCCAAAATTGATGATCAGTAGGTGCAGATATAGACAGTTTATTTTATATTCAATGCTCAACCTTTTACTCTAAAACTTTTGCTGGGTCCCACCACTCACCTCTTGGTCAGTAAAGCAGCCCATCACATTCAATGACTAACAGGTTCTAGGAGGTGGTAGTTGGTGGGATGAAATTCAACTAGTACAGAAAAATGTGAGGTTTGCATATTTCCAGCTACCTTCATCTCTGAATCTACACATCATTTTCAGTTTCTCTTTTCACTGAAGGTAACCTCTGTCCTTGCAAGATTTCATCATCTGCTCAGTTTGAACTCCCCATCACTTCAAAGCTCAATATGTAGAGTGAGAGAGAAAGTTTTACTAACATTTTTAGTTCTGCTGCTATTCTATTTTCCTTTATATAAGCATTGTTGATCTGCAACTGAAAAAAAGATTGTATTCTAATACAAAGTTTAAGAAGAGGCCATTTTAGTTTGCTGAGACTAAGTTTTATGTTTTCCTGGAAATTGTATGTCTTCCTTTTGTAGAAAACCATTGGCCTTTATAAAAAATGTAACATTTTATTTTGTCACCTGATGTTAGGCTACAGCTGGAATTAAAATGATCCAGATAAATCCATCCAGTTACAG